CGTAGTGCGGAGTTGCGGCAGCGTTGTAACAGATTGCGCTCGGCATTCCTGTTAATCGGTCTGTCATTTCCGATTTTTTTCTTTAAAACCGTGTGGTTTTCAGCTACGGTAGAACTATACCAATTTATTCTCGACGCCACGGAGCCCCCACCTACAAGTGCCGATCGGTATTGTTTCTCTTATCCTGGATGCTCAAAAGAAATGAAGGTGGATCCTTTGGGTATGCTTGCCGATTTCGACCAATCAGACGAAAACCGATAAGACTTGTATTTAGGCATGAGGTCAATTTGATCCTTGACGCTCGACCCCTTCAGTCTCCGACTAAGGCTTTATCGGCCGTAAATAGGTACCTTAGCGTAACAGCCTATCAGAGCCTATTTTGGTTATGCTACCGAACTGATATGAAAGTCCTCTGTACTTCAAATACTGTTGAATTTGCTTCTTACACCCGTTACTATGCCTTGGGTAGTTTGACCTCATTGTAAAATAACAGGTTCGCTGCATGAATAACCGTATTTACAGCAATTTCTCAGATCAGAAATGACGTAAGAAATGCTACCGATAAACAAATGGGGCACTACGGTGGACGCCTCTGGCTTATTAGCCGTTGCCAGCCAGCCAACTAAATCCAAACCTAGACTTAGCCAACCTCGAATTCTAAGCAGAACTTTTAGGTATTTTAACGTTTGCTCCAAAGCCCTGCTGCTAAATCATGAGCCCGCTATCCTGTCGGCTGCCACTGGGAGACAAAAGTAAATCCGCTGATGCAAGAAATTTATTCGCCCGAAATTTCAGAGTCATGTCCGAAGTCATAATTAGGCTGGACTCTTCGTCAATAAATGTAGGGGTCGCGCCCGTCCTGTTGCAGCTTGGAGTTTAGAGCCCCAGTTGCCAGTCCCATAGTGCCCAGTAATTGCGCAGAAGTGCTAACAAAGACAAAATAGATCGGGATGACGTTTCTGATTTGTTGGCCGTTATCAGCTAACCACGCCCACCCTAAGGTTCCGATTTGAATCAAACCTATTTTCTTTGTCTGTATCTCTTCTGAGCGTCATATTTTTATTGTAAGGAGATGCAGTTAACTGTCATGCATCAGTCCGCCGTCCGGAAAAGTCGGCTCGAATGCTCGGGTTAGGCGCAATGGCTGACAGAACGGCAGGAATCTGTGTACGCGTGCAATACACGACCTGCGCCCCACTCCTCCCTTATAACACATACCGACGCTAACTGCCTGCGCACGTACAAGTGGCCCCCTTCTGCACGGTAGAACCCTAGTTCCACTTGAACTGGAACCGCGTCTCCTTTTTGCCGCCTCTTCGATACTACCCAGACCTTACTAACCCCAGCTCTGCCTCTTGTGTGTTATCAGGATCGATGCCAGAAGACCGAAAAAGAAGAGCGCAAAGGTGGAACTTCGTCAGAAGTTAGCCAAGGAGAAACGCGGCGCCATCAGAGAACTGCGCCGAGATGCTCGGTTCTTAGCTAACTACGATCTTCAAAAGACCAAGGCCAGGTATGGGCTTCCCTTTGCATATGTTACAATCATTGAAATTGCTATTATTCTGTTCTTTTTCACCTCAGTTTTTCACTCTATCGCGCCGTCTTCTTTTTTTTCTTACTTTAGTGATGAAATTCGGAAAAAGAAGACTCGGGCCATCATAAATTCAATGCGGAGTATCGATTAAACTCCCATCTCTTTACTGGTCCTCCAAAATTTGGTCTGTACAAATGCAACATAAATTACCGCTATTTTTAACTGTGAACTGATTCTTATTGAGGGAAGGGAACTGCTCACATCTTAGTTTGACAGGCACACTGGTCGGCCAAAAGGGGGTTCGCACGGATCTCCTTAGGAGAGTTTGCCATACAGACACAAAAAGACGTCCACACGCGCCGATAACACTCAGGCA